CCTCTTGAGATAAACATCTTAAGAACTTCAATTTGACAGGCTTGTAAGGTCTGAAGCCTCCATGGGCAGAAGGAGTATGTTGGGGCCTTCCTAGGGCAGAAGTTGAAGTTCTGACCCACTCTTGTTTAGAGGGCACATCTCTGAGCTCCCTTTGGTTTCAAGGAGCATGTGTGAGGCTCGGCTTGTTAGATAGGGTATGCCTGAGACTCTCTCTTTCAGAATGAAACTTTCTAAGACTGCCTTGAACAGGATGACCATCAGAAATTTCGAAGTCCCTTTGGTCCCATTGAGAAGGTCTAATACCTTCTTTGGGGGGAGAGGTTAGAACTCCTGCTCCCTTTTTGTAGCAGGATCCTTTGGAGACTGCATGAGATTGAATATGAATATCTGTGGCCTCCTAGGAAAGAAGGGTCACATGTGGAGGTCCCATATTCATATTGGAAAACTGTGCCTGTCCCTTGGTAAGAGAGGGAAGATCTCAGGTCCCCTAGTTGAGACAGGGTATGTCTGAATTCTCCTTGGACAGAGAATGATGTGCCACTCGCTTTTGGAACTGGTGAATATATGAGTCCCCACTGGACAGGATGCAAAGCCCTGAGCCACTCTCTGGCACTACTGGAAGGTTTCTGTGCCTCTAGGACAGAAAGAAAGAGGCTTTGTCCAAAGTCCTCCTTGGTAGAAATAGGGTGTCTGACATCATTGATTTGGGGTGATGAGGAAGGTGTGACACTCCCATTGGGACTACCACCATCTGTAGATGAGTTGAAGCTTTCTTGGGCTGCAGGGGAAGATTTGATGGCTTCTTGAGTATAAGGGGCATCTCTGAGTCTCCTCCTGGTAGTGGGAGAAGTAGTATGGCTGGAAGTCCCATGGGGGAGAGGTGCAATGTCTGAGGTTCTCTTCATGAGAGGGAGTAGTTCCTGAGCCCCCTTCTGTACAGATGAAAGCATCTATGTTCTCTTGGGGAGTAGGTTTGGGTTTCTGGTCCCTTTTGGCAGATGAAGAATGTCTGAGCCGACTTTTTGACAAAAAGGATTGTTTACAGCCCTTGTTCTCTGAGTGGGAAGCATGAACATCTACTTTGTCAGAGGGAGCCCTTTCCAATTTGGTTTTGGTAGATTTGGAGTGTCTAGGGATGCCTTGGGGAGATGGAGAACTTCTGCGGCCCTCCTCACAAGATCATGAGGATCTGCAGTCTCCCTTATCAGAAGGAGAAGTGGTGAGCCTCTCTTTGGGCTCAGTTTTAAGCCTTACACCCCCTTTGTTGGGAATGGAAACTTTGCCCCCCTTTTTGGAAGAATGATGAAGTTTCAAGCTGTCATCTTCTGATGAAACAGATCTGAGG